GTGCATCCACCGTGCATCGCACGGGCGAAAGACTAGTTATTATATTAATTCAATAAAGAGCTTTCACGATCTAATCCTAATTTTTGATTGAGAGGGCTGTCAGCCGAGATGTATATCAATAGAGTGTATACCTAGCCAACCCAAATAATATATTAAAATCGTGGGCCCCAACATCATTGTGAAAGGGCTATCAGTGAAGGTGTACACTCTTGTACATTAGCACAACCCAATAATATATTCAGTTTCTTGCCAAATTTTCAAATACCTGACGAAAAAGCATGTTAGTAAGATGAAACAAGAATTAAAGTTGTTCTTCATAACTATGGATATAGTATTTCTTTAACCTTTGAAGTTGTGTTGTGTTGGCATAAAATTGGTATGTGTATTTGGTACCATTATAGCTTGATGATGATAACTTGACCCATATAAAGAAACTATTTGTTGTTAAACACATTACATCATATGGGCATAATCATCACGTTGCAAAAATATTTCACAATGTTAACAAGATTTTAATTTTATTTTTGTAATCTATGTATGTTAACAATAGTATTTTACGACATCTGCAGCAATAATTTTTTTTTCTTTTCGTTCTAGCACTGCATTTGAATATAACTGTTATGTTAAATCTCAATGATACAATCCGATGTTCATAAATTGAAACGTCTTTTAGGTAAATAGGGTAGTGCGAAATCGAAATTATGGAGTTGTAAGAGCATTTCTAATTATGGTGTAAAATAAATCTAAATTATGATTTATATATTCGAAGTGGTTGAAAACCTCTCCAATGAATAGATGCAAAGGAAATACAAATTACATTTTTCGACAGAAAATGTAAAAATAAATTGTAAATTTATATATTTTTATACATTTAGGGGCAAAAAAATGGATTTAGATCTTTCCATTGTAGTAAAATTTGAATTTAGACCCATCATGATGTAAATGATGATACAAAAGTGATTTTGGAGATACCAATTTACTACCAATTTTACACCACACCTAGAGATGCTATAAATGTATCATAGTTTTCCTCATATTCCCCAAAACAATTTTGATAGAATTCAATCGATTTCTTTCACGTAGATTTTGAACCTAATTATAATAGTCTTGAAATTTTTATTTCATTATAAAAATGAGATTACTTTCTACCATCAATTTCAAAATGAAGTCGTTTTGACTCATAATTAGTGAAATATATGTGTTTTATTTTATAATGTGTTGAACATATTTTTCGTCTTCTAATCAATAAAAATCCCGTTTTCCCTGTATAAATTATAATAAACCCTCATTGTCAAATACTTTTTCAACCTTCTTACAATGCAAGGGTTAAGATTTTCCATTATTCCAAATGTGTCGTAATCAGTTTCAAAAAATATTTTTCGAAGTGTACCAATTAGTTTTTTTTTTCTAGTATGTTCGATCCTCGTCTCAAGTTGAATGGGGCTAAGCATTGATTTTATTTAATTCAAAATAATTTAAATTTAATCTTTAAACCAAATATATCCTCGATAATTGTCTAGTTTGTACTCTGATTCGAACTATATAAAATTAACTTCTTTTTTGTTTGGAAATGTACGAAACTCATATGCTTGGAGCACTTACATGAGTTGAGACATGTATAGGGTCCGACTTCTACAATGGCTCAATATACAACGATATCAATATTTAGTATTGTCCAATATAACCCGAATCTTGTTCATAGAATCCACAACTTTATCAGCACTTACAGATGTAAGGACTGTTATGAAAGACCCGGTGTAAGATCAAGATGCACACGTGACTTAAACAATATTACAACTCTAATAGAAGCACATATTTGTATACACCACTAATTTTAACAAGATGAAAGTGACCTTTCGACATGTTTTCAGATGTTCAATTGCAAACTACTAATATAGAATTCTAAGTATGTATTATTTCTTTATTCACTAATAAGTTTTATTAGAGTCCGTTTGATTGCAATGGTGAAAAATGAGTAGAAAGAAAACGAATTTTAGGGAAAGTAATTGCCTAGAACTTGTTTTGTAGGGAATTGTTAATTAAGTATGTTTGATAGGTAAAATTTTCCACCCGGGAAATTTTTTAAAATTTGGATCTTTTTATTCACGCTTGACTTTATTTTACTTGGAAATTGTCCATTAAAGTAAAAAAAAAAAATTTAC